AATAATAAAATTGAAAAAAAAAATTCTACCTTAACATCCTGAACAATAAGAACGCCTTTACAATTTGCTGGCTGTTCACTTCTAATATTGGGAGGAATGGGTGGCGGTAGTTGCATTCTAGGTATGACGGGCCGGGGTAACAAAACTGTTTGCCTCGGGGGCACCATAAACTGTTTTGGCGTCGGAAATTTTGGTCGCAGTTTGGGTAGTTTAGGTTGCCGTGGAAAATTTGGCCTTTGAGAGTAGTTTCCAATAACTGGAGTTGGAAGAAGTATAGGTACCCTGGTGACATCTTGGCCAGCAGGCGATTCATCAGTACTGCCTGTACTGCATTCGTCTGGATCTAATATTTCTGTCTTGATTGCCTCCAGTGGCACTTCAAGCCTTGACGAATAATCATGTTCATTACATGTTAAATCAAGATCAGAAGACTCCTCCATAATTCTAAAAAAGAATCAAAACATATTTTCTAAATGCAGAGCTAACAACATTGAACAATGAACCATCAGTGCACAATGTGTTTGTGGAAAATAATATTGTTTAATTTAAACTGAAACTTACATCTTGATCACAGAACTATAGGCCCGAAATTCTATTAGATAGATACATATTAGCAGACTGTCAAAACTTTAACAGACTACATAACCCATTGTAAACATAAATACTAAAACAAATCAAAGGTGAGTGAGAGGAAATGCAACCACGACGCGGCAGTATGGCAAGAGTTAACTAAGTGATGACATAGCCCAGCTGTCACTGGACTTTACATATTCCATATCACAATAATTCCGTAAATGTGACAATCATAATCAAGCCAACAATCTCGGGATAACAAACAAACATTAACCTCCCCCAGCTGCGGTTGCGCATGCGCAGGCGCTGCTAGCTCTGCTCGCCTCGAAGGCGGTGTGACGGCGCGGCGCGAAATTCAAAACCCAACAACGAGCCACACGGGTGCTTCCCCCTCACTCCTCGCCCGACCCAGCAGGGCGTCCTCCCAGCCTAGGGCACTGACCACCACGTTACGCAAAAAACAAACCGATTCCAAAAAAACTGGCGGCGAGTAGCCAACTCTCAAGCGGACGACGGGGCGCTCGCGGTGCTACTTAGGTTGGTCATTGATCATTAGACCGCAGTCATTACGGACACTTCCCGGCCAATCAGGGAAGTTCGCTCGGCGTTCAGGTAAATCCACCACACCTCCTGTCCCCATCCATCCTGGGGCCGCCGCACCGCGCGCTACCCACACTTCGCTCCATTCCACTCCACTTCACACTTCACGGCGCCCGGTCCCCTGCTCTAGCCCGGGACACTTCACTCGTTCGTTAGTAATGTGAGTGAATAAAGTGATTGAGCGTGGACCGGGCTCTACTCCCAGAGAAAGCCACGACGCCGCCGACCGAGGTGCCGCCCCGCCGCGCCCGCCCCCCTGCCTGCTATGCCGGTCTGGCGGGGCAGGTGTCGGCGGAGGACAGGGAGCGAGCGAGAATGGAGTTTAAAACGAACTGGGTCAGGTCACACCGTTAGTTTGGAATAAGTGTCAAGTGATTTGAGACGGCAGGATAAAATGAATAATAGTTTCACAAGAATGAAATATTTTCACAGTTTGGGTACAATGAGGAAGTTGCCCGATAAGAGGAACAAAAAGAAGGTAGCACTGAGGAGGTGGCGTGGCGTAGCGCCGTCCCGAAACAAATCGTAACGTCGGCGACCATGCTGTGTTTTGTCGCAAGTGGATGTGTGATAATGAATCTAGTTTCGAAGCATCTTTAAAGAAAAATTGGGTCCATACCAGACCGGCGTAACCATCTTGTGTCAAAAAGTGCTTCTGCAAAGTTTGGCTTCGGAAAAGTAAGTTTATACCATCCTCTACACCGTCCCGGTGTCGTTGTTTAGGTTAGCGTACGGACATATTTTAACTCAGTGATAATGACTCAACTGTCGTAATAAACGTTGGTATAGGTGGTACCAAAGTGCTAGATGCGTAGGCCCGTTCTAAACTGTTTGAAATCTAACGACACGCATCCTAAAGGTGGATTCAGAGTTCCCTAAAACCGAGCGTGATTCTCACGCAAAGCGTGATTTTCACGCCCGGCGTGATGTAAGTCGATCCCTGATTGGCTGCGTGAAGCTTAGGAAGCGTGAAAATCACGCCTGGCGTGAAAATACCGCTTGCGTTTCGTGAACTCTGAATCCACACTTACCCTAACCTCTGCTAGACTGTCGCTCATCTTCTGCTTTGTTTAGGGACGGCGCTACGCCACGCCACCTCCTCAATGCTACTTTCTTCTTGTTCCTCTTATCGGGCAACTTCCTCATAGGAAAGTGAAAATGTCAACACACCGGCACGGCACGCACGTGCGGCGTGCTTAGTCACTTCGGACAGTTGTTTGTGTTTATGGCCGAGGCTGGGTCGGGTGAGCAGGGAAGTCCCATCCGGGCGAGCTGGTCAGCGCTGCTGGTCCCGCCCCACCCAACAAACGACATTAAGACCCGCATAGCCGTAGCATCGCACTATCGGACAAATCTCTTCCGATGCCGCTGCCGCCTGGATGCTGTGCTGCTGCAGCTGCTGCTGGACCGCCGCGGCTGCCTCCGCCTCCGCCACACTCGTCGTCGCGCTGGCTCGCTCTCGGGACCCGGGACTAGTGTCTGAGAGAGAAGCAATTTAAGGGTTTGCTTGGCTCACTGAGCCACTGAACACTGGGTTGATTGTCCGTGTACGTACTCGGCGCGGGGCGGCGGAGCTGCCGCGACGCAGGCGCAGGCCCGGTTATCGCCTATACCAGCGGAAACTGAACATAAGGAAAGGCAGCTGCAGCAAAAGAGCGGCAGTACGCAGGACAGCGCGGCAAAGATGACAGCAGGGAGCACACGGCATCGTGATTAGCAGGAAGCACGCCCTTCGAATTCTCTCGGGGACCAAACAACAACGCCGATCCGGTGGTTGGCGACGGGCATGACGGACGGCCTCCTCTGGGACTTCTCCAATCATTGTCGCCTGGTCGCTATGTGCCCGGGGCTGTGCCGCAGCGGCCGGTCCAGCTGCACTCCACATCCTCCCGACCATCTCTGGAATTATTTCCAGGACTTGGACCTGTCACGTCCTCCTGTGCGGCGCGGCGGCCGTGCTGCTGGAGACCTCGCCCCCTCAGGTGGTCCAGGACGCCGACAGGACAGGTGGAGCAGGTGATAGTGAGAGTGGAGAGGGGCTGCTGCTGATAGTGAGAGTGCCCGCGGCCCCGGGGTGGCGGCAGGACGGGGCCGGCGGGGCGCCCCCC